TTGTTTGCATGTGTAACAAACAGATTTCTGGAGGTGAGAAGAGAAGAAAAATTGGACCCTTAACTGTATAATTACCTTTGAGAAAATCCATCTTGATGCTAAGCATTTGCATTAATCCTGAAATAGATGAAACTCAGATACCAAAGGGCTGTCATATATATGTACATATATACACATGTGTGCTGTATATATACTCACATGCATTATACATATATGCAAGTATAGATAGGTAAATAGATAGATAGCCCCTCTGGGGGCTAGTGATTTTCATTAGTATAGCTCTGGAAGATTTACAAAGCTTCATATGCAATGATCCGCCTTTTGTCTACAATCCCCCAGGGAGAGAAGACTTCCCCAGGGTCATACAGCTGGTTAGTTCCTGGAATGGGATTCAAACCAGTACTTTCTGATTCCAAAGTCCAGCCCTCTCTCTGTTTTATACCATGCTACCTCCTAATAAACAAGAGCCTATCTGAGCTTCTCAAAAAATATTATTATCCTCATTTTACAATGAGGAGACTGAATTCTAGTAAAGGAACTTCTCCAAAATTATCTGCCAGCAAGTAGCAGAGTTACAGTTCCTCTGATTCCAAACTTAGAACTGTCTGCTACGTCATGCTACCTTGAGGTAGAGGTAGTGGCAGCCAGAAGGCGCAGTGGCTAGAATGCTGGCCCTAGGGTCAGAAAGAGCTGAGTTCAAATCTAGCCTCAGATACTTACTAGCAGTATGGTCCTGGGGCAAGTTATGTAACCTATGTCTACCTCAATTTCCTCAACTGTAAAATGGGAATAATAATAGTGCTTCCCTCCTGTGGTTGATCAAATGATGTATTTGTAAAACATTTAAAGTTTAAACTGTTCAGCACAATGCCTGACACCTACTAAATGCTTGTTTTCTCCCTTCTCCCCTCCCACTGCATGATAGCCTGAAATTCCATCAATTAGCATCAATTAATCTCAAGCCAGTAACTCCCATGCACTGAGCTCATCAGCAGAATTGAAGACCAGGCTCTCTTTCTTTAGGGACCTCCTAGTCCAGTTGGAAAGAGAAGACTTAGGTGACAAAGTTGGAGAATATTTATGGGACAGTGTGAGATCAAGGGCTAACTGAGTTGGGTGCCTCAGAAGCTAAGAGCTGTGGTCAGATGGAGAGGGAAGAGAGCAGTGCACCTTGGAGGAGTCAAGGAAGGTTTTCTGTTGGAGGTGGATCAAAATTAGAGAAGAAAAAAAAGATGGTGGAGGAAGATTTTGGAGGATGGAGGTAAGGGAAAACATGACTGAAAGCAGTAAGTAGCACATTTGTGGTCTAATGATTGAACCAAACTTCCCGGGTCACTGACAGAACTGTCTAGGAGATACAGGTCAAATATGTGATTCTTTATATGATATGATTTAAGGGCACTCTTCATGCAAAAATATCTCCCCCCCCAGTACCTGATATGAAGCTGTTCGTTAGACATCTATCTCATTGGGTCTTAACCAAAACAACAGCAGTATCAACAAACAATCTCCAAACTCAAAGAAATTAAAGGCTGATATTAAAACACAGGTGTTAACTGGGAGGAAAGAATAGTGCGTGAAACAACTGACACCTTAGATGAATTCCTGCAGAAATCAGGACTTAAGACATAGGATAGGTAAGTTTGGATGAGAAGGCACCAAGGAAAATGAAGGAGGGGAATGTAATATGGAATTGTTATCCAAGAGTCCCAGTTCTGAGATGTGAGCCTCAGTTTTCTCATCTGTAAAATGGTTCTATGATCGTCTCATAGACTATAAGACCTTAAAGCAGGGCTTAGAGGTCAAATGAGGGGGCAGGAAACAGATTCAAACTCTCAAAGTCCTTCTTAAACCTTCTCCTTCTCTCACCCTCTATGATCAATCAGTTGCCAAGCCTTACTGATTCTACCGTTGTGATGTCTCTTCCATCTGTTTCTTCTCCATATGTACTGCCACTCTCTTAGTTCAGGTCCTTATCTCCTCTTCCACTGTGCACTTGAAGTCTTTCCCAATTCAGCTTCAGCCCTTTCCCATACTCCTTGTCCCAACCAAAGTAGCCCACTAGCTGACCCCAGAACTCAGCATTCTATTTCTTACCTTTTGTCTCTGCATGTGCTGTCCCCTAGATCTGGAAAACATTCTCTGTTCAGTTCTCCCCAGAATCCTTAGCGTCTTTAAAGGTTTGACTCAGGTGCCACCTCCTACAGGAAGCCTTTCCTGCTTCCCTCTCCCCAGTTGTTAATGCTCTCTTCCTCATGAAATGACCTTGTACTATACTGATTTTTAATTCATGCTATATCCCTCCACTAGATGAGAAGCTTCTGAAGGGTGGGCACTTTCCCACTTTGGTCTTCTCTCCTCCACCCTCACCTCTGCCTCCACACATGTTTATCTGTAGGGTCTTGCACATTTTTTTCTTTAAACCTGACCTTTAATTTTATCAGTGTAAGAAGTTTCCCGTGCTGGATCAGAGCAGTTGTCCCAGAAATAGCAGGAAGATGAGATAGAAATATTGAACATAGCTTAAGAAATGTATGTGGGCACCCAGGTTTCTCTCTCTCACTCTCTTTCCTTCCACTCTTTTCTTTTCTTTCTTTTCTTTCTTTCTTTCTTTCTTTCTTTCTTTCTTTCTTTCTTTCTTTCTTTCTTTCTTTCTTTCTTTCTTTCTTCTTCCTTCCTTCCTTCCTTCCTTCCTTCCTTCCTTCCTTCCTTCCTTCCTTCCTTCCTTCCTTCTTTTTCTTTCTTTCTTTCTTTCTCATGCCCTCTGGAATGGGGCAGTTTTGTTAGATTGGACAAGATCGTACATGGGCAACATCAAAAATGAGGGGTAATACCAACCCCTAGCCAGACTGATTATTGACATGCACCCTCCATGCCACTAAAGGAACTGGGGCCATTTTATCATGTAGTTTTTAAGACAGCCACTTGTGTAAATAAGTGTGCTGGATTGATGAGAAATCTTGAGACGAGCAAAATAAAATGACTTGGTATCAATATGGTCTGACTTAGAACTAATTCAAATACTAAGCATATGGAATTCTATTATGTTTGACTTGGTAGTAAAATTAGATCTCTAAATGGTTCAATTCAGATTCCCCCACCCATGACACATTAAATATCAACAAATCTATTTGATAACTTCAGTTGATAAGAAGAAACTAGAACTGATAGTGCTCTAAGCCTTTTTTCTTGATTGACCTGAAGATTGAAATGCCACTAAAACTTTAACTCATGTTTTAGTCTGATAATCCAAATAACGTGTCCTGTTTAGCCAATGAAACGATGAAAAGCATGGATAAGGTCTTGGAAGTTGAACTACTTTTTTCCTTTTTACTTTTCCTTTTAGGTCAAGTTCCTGTCTCCTCATGTTATCTTTTTCTTTTAATTCTCTAACTGATAGCACTCTTGGCGTGGCCTAGACGACACCTGTTTCCGACCACTTAGCTGGCAACAGCCAGGTAGAGTGCTGGTTTTTCTCCCTCTTGCTCTTAGAATCGGTAACCTCATCCTTTCCAGGAAATCTTCAGGGTGAGACAGCATAAAAACTGCCTCAGAAAGCATGTCTTCAGAAATTCTATCTAAACAAACATTAACACTCATCCCCTCAAGTGTTAGTGAAAATGCAGCAGTTGTATAATCATAACAGCCATTCCTAGAGTACTGTACAATTCTTTCTTAGAAGCTTTAAAGGCCCTGTTTAGCAAGCAAAAAAAATCTCTCAAATTAGCATGTCAGTGTTTCAGGAGAACCTACTTTAAAAGAAACCCAAGTTTTATTGTGAAGCCTACAAATATTTATTTTAAAATTAGGTCATTTTTTGCTGGACACTTTTGGATGTCAGTACTTTAATTCTAAGTCAAAAGACAAAGCAAAACCATGCTTATCTTCATTTTTCAATATTACCATTTCTTATAATTTCACTTTCTTTTTTGTGGGGGGGGCGGTGTGCACAAAACAACCCACAGATGCATAGCATTACCCAACTCAAAATATAAACTGTAGTTGCAGTCCTTTATCTCTTTGAGGTCCAGCACTAATTCCTCACTACGATTTGACAAAATGGTGATGATTCTGACTAATGCTAATTGGTCATCATTTCTTTCTAATGAGTTCTCAAAGTCATAGCCAAGTAAAAAGAAACACAAATTAGAACAAAATGGAAATAGTAAAAATCCCACCATTCTTTCTTCTAAAGGAGGAATCTTTTTTAAATAGCTTTTTTGATAAGGTCTTTTTTTCCCCTGAAACTGTGCTTTCTATGAATTCTACATAGATGCCTTCAACAAAAAATAACAAGAAGATTGTGTCTCTTTGTAAAGTTAAACATCTAGAATCTTAGAGGGAACTTCAGAGGTCATCTAAGTCTGTAAACCAGTAGTTAAAACAATATCAAAGGACTCATTACAAAAAATGCTGTCCATCTCCAGACAGAGAAATGATGGCCTCAGAATTCAGACAGAAGCATATTTTTTTCTTTATTTTTCTTGCTTTTTTTTTTCCAACGTGGCTAATGTGAAAATGTTCTGCATGACTTTATATGTATAATGAGTGTTGTATTTCTTGCCTTCTCAATGGTGGGGGAGGGGTGGAGAGAGGGAGAGAATTTGGAATTGAAAATAAAAATAAAAATTCAAAGAGAATGTAAACTCCCCAAGAAAAGGACTGTCTTACTTTTTGTTTGTATGTACATCTCCGGCATCTCACACAGTGCCTGGCACATAGTAGACGGTTAATACTTGTTTGTTGCCTGAGTTCTTCAAACCTAGGCTAGAAACAGGAGTTAGGGAATTCTCTAGATACTTTTCTGGCTCTATGATTTTGCTACCTGAAGGCTAGACCATCATATTGTATTAGGCACACTTCAGGTTGGTAGGATAGTAGAGCCAGATGGGCTCTGGCGCAATTACCGGTTGTCTCTCCCACTTTGCAGATAAGAAAACAGGCTTATGGTGGGGAAGTGAAAAACTGAAAATCACAGAACTAATGAATAATCGGCTTACCCTTTTCTTGCCCCATCCCATTCTCTTTCAGAGGAGAAGCTTTCTTCTTGGATTCTCACTCAATTAGTAATCTTAGGTGCTAATGTCTGGCACTGCTGGGTCAACTAGAATCAGTCCCACTCCACCTGGGAACTGGCACAGGTGTCTCCAAGTCTGTGGAGCAGTGACACGGGCATGGACATCCCCTGGGAAGGTGGGTTAGAGCGATAGCTAGAGGCTGTGTGGCGGCCAGAGACAGGAGCGGACGGGGCAGAACGGTGGCTGGGCGTCTTCCTCAGTGTAGGGGCACTCCAGGTCTGGCAATGCCATCAGGTGCCATAGACATGGCAGTCAATGGGGGGAGGGGATGGCGGAGTCAGTAGCCAAGCATCCTTAGTCCTTGTGCCGCCCCATGAAGGACGAGGGGATGACACTGTCTCCCTGCTCTCACGGACATCTGGGGAACCTACTCTCCCCTCCCCTGAGGGGCTGGGGGTTGGTTCTATTACCATGGTGATGCTATGTGATGTCAGAGGTAAATGAGAGCGCAGAGGAACCACCATTCACAGACTTGTAGGTTGTTAATATTAGAAGTAAGAGTCTTAGAGTTAGTGGTCCTCCATCCGAGCCCCCTTATTTGTACAGATGAGGTCACTCTTGAAGGCATGGTGGCCATCATGTGAAAGAAGGATCAGAGTTACTCTGCTCGGCCCAAGAGGACAGAATTGGAAGCAATGGGTAGAAATTGGGGGAGATGGAGGTTAGGGAAGAGAAGACAGGGGAGCAGAGGTCAGCTGGATAGAAGGAAGAACGTCCTTCCAATTATCAATGACCAAAAAAGGAATGGGCTGCTCCCTAGGAGGTAGTGAGCTCCCCATTACAAGGATCTTTAGAGAGACGTTGGGTGACCGCTTGCCAGTAATGTAGGAGAAGGAATAAGAAGACCGATGTCTCCCAGCCCTCACAAAGTTTATATTTGGGCTGGGGAAACAAAATTAGTGAACACATCCGACTCATTTTGGTTTCTCACTTCTCTGGAGCGCTTGACACTCTTGGGTCCCTCTCTCCTCCCTAGGTTTTCATGACCCTGCTCTGCCTTCCTACCTATCTGGCCGATCCCCTCAGTCCACCTCACAGGGTCATCATTCATGGCCCACCCTGAGGTGAGCAGGAACATCAGGGTTCTCTTCTCCATTGGCGACTCCCCCAGGCCCCACGGACTCAACCATCAGCCAATGGCCTGGAGTCAGAAACACGAGTTCAAATCCTTCCTCAAACACTTCCTGGCTGTGTGACCCTGGGCAAGTCACTTCACCTCTCTGTGCCTCAGTTTTCTCATCAGGGTTGTGGTGAGGGTCACGTGAGATAACGTCTGTAACGCACTCAGCAGAGTGTGTGGCGCGTAGTAGGTTCCTTTCTCTTCTCTTCTACGCGGATGCCTCTAAAATCTACACGGTGAGCCCTCATCCTTTTCTTGAATTTCAGTGAGTCAATTAGCGTGTATTAAGTGCCTACACTGTGCCAGGCACTCTGCTGAGCATTGAGGATACAAAGAAAGGTTTAAAAACCTGTTGTTCTCAAGCAACTCACAGCCTAACAGTTAGGTACAAACAAGATATAGATCAAGTGTGACCTCAGAGGGAAGTGTGTGTGTTCAATTGTTTCAGACACACCCAACTCTTGTGACCCCATTTGGAGTTTTCTTGGCAAAGATACTGGAGCAGTTTGCCGTTTCCTCCTCTAGCCCATTTTACAAATGAGGAAACCAAGGCAAATGGTAAAGTGACTTGCACAGGGTCACACAGCTAGTAAGTGTCTGACTCTGGATTTGAGCTCAGGAAGATGAGTCTTCTTGATTCCGAGCCCAGCAGACATTAATATTAAGGAGGACAGGGAACAGCTTCTTGTGGAATGTAGGACTTTAGCTGAGAATTAAAAGAGTTCAGGGAGCCTAGAAGGAATAGATATATAGAGTGTTCCAGATGTGTGGGGGTGGGGACTATGTGAGGAATAGCCAGGAGGTCAGCGTCACTGGGTCCCAGAAGACATGAAGGAGTAAGGGAAGAAGGTGTAAGGTGTCTGGAAAGGTAGGAGGGGGCAGGTTATGAAGAGCTTTAAATGCTCCAGTCCAGTGTCTCCATCTGCCCCCAGATGTGCTATAGGCTCTTCAAACTCCACGAGTACAAAATGGAATTCATTGCCCCCTTCCCATCCCTCCCAGCCACTGCTTAGATTGCTTAGATTCCTATTTCTTAGATTCCTATTTTCTTCTGAGATGGTGCCACCAATCTTCTACTAACTCAGGTGAGGTCCACACCAACCTTGGAGGGCTCTCGAACTCCTCACTCTCACTCATCCACTCCTCCCCCACATCCTACAGGTAGCCAAATCTTGCTGATTCTGCCTACGATCCTATGAATTGTTGCTCTTTCCTCAGAAGGATGAGACCTCCCAATGGCTCTCTTCCCCATCCAGTTGGGGACCATTTCCAGTCATCCTGATCTATATCTGGCCACTGGACTCAGAAGGCTATGAAGGAGAAAGTGAGGCTGGTGACTGACCTTGCACAGCCCTCCTCACTTAAATCCAATTCACTTGCAAGTCATGGCATCGCCTTCCCAATGTCATGGTTCTCTTTGAGAACAGCAACATCTAGATGTTACGTCCAGACTATTCAGTGCAGAATGAATGGCGTGCTTCCAAAGCCTGACTGTACCCACACCTTCTCTTCCTTGGGGTCATAGGGCTGGCCCATCAGGAAAGTCAAAGGTCCAGCTGCTTATCTACTGGAGAGCTATGTTCCTACCAGCAGGGGTTTCTGTATGGCTTTTACAGCCTGAGGGGGACCAGATTGATGCCATTAGTCAAGTCAACAAGGATTTACCTCCTGCTTAGGCACTATCCTGTGGTTTTTCGAGTCCCACTTTGTCCCTCACCCTTTCCCTTCCTTCCCCCTCCACTCAGTACCAATAGGCAGAGGTGAATTTCTCAGCAGGGCTCCCCTGGTCCGTGGATCTGTGGGAACAAGAGTTGCCCTACTAGGAACCATGAAATGGGTGGTTTGCTTTCAACTTTCCACCCCATCCTTCCTTTTAGCCCTTGACCCTCATGGCCCCAGCACCTGCCTTTTGCTGCCCCTCAACTGCCCAGGGCCCTACGTAGGCCTGTATCTCCTGAGTAACGGGACCCCAAGACTTCTTCCTCCTTCCTTTTTCCCCATTCTCCTTCTCACTTCCCCCATTCCATTCTTCTCCTAAACCTTTTCAGACTGTGTTTCAAAGATACAGGGCCTAGCTCTTAGCTTTGGCTAATGAGATAAACTAATTCAGGCCAAGTTGTTAAAGGCTGATAGTAACTTTATGTTTCCCCGTCCCATATAATATTTGCTGTCTTTAATGTTAAAACTCAAAGGTTGACTAATGGCAGATGCTTTGGCCTCATTCTCAATGGTGGGGGAGGGGCAGGGAGAAGGAGAGCATTTGGAACTGAAAATAAAATAGAATTTAAAAACAAAAGTAACATAAACCCCCCAGGGATCAGAAGGTGGCTGGTAAAGGAGATATTTGGGAGCGGTGGGTCTTTGTGGTGCCTTTCTGATCTAATCGACTTTGACAGCTTTGTACTACTCTTATGTCTTCAGTATCTACGGAGAAAACGGGGACAATGGAACCTAATATTGGATGGAGGAAATGGGCTGGGTTATCTGGACAGCATAAATACAGAGGCTGATATACAGCTTTTACTTTAACAGTTTTATCCCTCCCATCACTTACTACTCATGAGTGTATTTTAAAGATGTAGAGTGTCATATAATGACAAGAGTCCTGGCCTTGATGGAGAAGAATTGCATTCAAATTCTGGCTTGGATGCTTATCCCTTATGTGACCTTGTGAGGGGCTTGCGTTAGATGGTCTCTAAGATCCCTTTCCCCCCTAGATTTTATCATTTGATACCCATAACGTAACTAAAAATAGGTAGATGTAATTCTTCCCATTTTATTGCTTGTAAAACTGAGGCCTAACCATAAGTAGTCCCCAACACAAATGTTCTGTTCTGACCAAGCCAGTCTCCTCACCATCTCCACAATTCCTCTTGGAGCCTTGGTCCCAGGGTGTAGGAGGCACCTTTGTCTGCTCTGAATCCTATTTATCCTGTGAAGCCAAGTTCACATCCTGACTCTCCCAGAATGTTTCTCTCATCCCTCTAGGCTACACTGACCCCACCTTTCTCTGACCTCTTGCAGCACTTAGTGGCCATGAGACCATCACTTGATTATAAACTCCCCACAGTTGTTTGGTAATTGCTCCATCGGCCAGTTACTCAGCAAGCTGTAGGCTAGGCACTGTGTTAGCCATGGGCCTACATTTGGAACTATGCCCCGAATGTCACTACACTGTGCATACCCTTTCACTCAGCAATTCTGCTACTTGGTCCACACCTCAAAGAGATTAAAGAAAGAAGAAAAGGAACCAGGCACGCGAAAACATTCATAGCAGCTCTTTTTGTGGCTGCAAAGAATCAGAAACGGCGGGGATGCTCATCAGTTCTGGAATGGCTGGACAAGTTATGGTATATGAATGTGATGGAATATAACTGTGCTGTAAGAAATGAAGTGGATGGTTTCAGAAAAATCTGGGAAGACTTTTATGGACTGATGCAAAGTGAAGTGAGCAGAACCAGGAGAATGATTTATACAACAACAATATTGAAAAGATAAACCTTTGAAAAACTCGGGAAGATGAGTCTTCCTGACTCCAGGCCCAGCACTCTATCCACTGAATTCAAATCCAGTCTTAGACACTATTAGGTATATATGACTCTGAGCAAGTCTCTTAATCCTGTTTGCCTCAGTTTCCTCATCTATAAGATTATCTGGAGAAAGAAATGCCAAACCATTCTAGCAGCTTGCCAAGAAAACCCCAAATGGGGTCACAAAAGAGCAAGATAAGACTGAAAAATGATTGAACAACAGCCAAAAGAAACTGTAGAAAAGACATATATGGGGGCAGCTAGGTGGTGCAGTGGATAGAACACTGGCCCTGAAGTCAGGAGGACCTGAGTTCAAATCCAGCCTCAGACCAAACACTTGGCACTTACTAGCTGTGTGACCCTGGGCGGGTCACTTAACCCCAATTGCCTAAAAAAATTTTTTTAAAAATTAAAATAAAAATAAAGGAAAAATATATTTGTATATATACATATATACATTTGTGCCTAATGATAACCATCTCAAAGGAAGAAAAAAAAGGAAAAAAGAAAAAAGAAATTACATGGCAACTTTATTATATATTTAAAGGAATAGCAAGTTGTACATAATAGATTTGCCATTTCATGTGTAATCATCTTTTTTATTTTACTGTGTTATGGAAATGCTTGTTTTGTTCCATAAATTAAAATAAATATGGGAAAAAAGAAACTATACACCTCAGTTATTGAACCTTAAAGTTTCTGGACTGCTTTGCCTACATTACCTTTGGAGTGAGGTGACC